GTACTTTGGACATGTTCTCAGGAGCAACCAGCCCCTGCACAAGGACATCATGCTGGTAGAGGGTCAGCAGATCAGAGGAAGACCCTCAGTGAGATCGATTGAGGAGTGGCTACCATAATGAACTGGAAAACAGCAACAGTTGTGAGGCTGGTGCAGGACAGCCCAGTCCCTGTGGAACATCACCGAATAACACCCAGAGCAACTGGCTACCCCCAGAGCGAGCGATATAGGAGCCAACACTCAAGACGGAAGTGGCAAGTCTTTTTATATCTTGGCTGTGACACACCACTGCTTTTACCAGGCCAACCTGATGCACTGTGGGTATAAACCGCGTGGCCACCAGGAAGAAGGGGCCATGGGGGGCAATATCTGAGGCTGCCTGCCAGGCTCACCCTTGGTCGGTTTTACTTTGCTAATGTCTGCCCTGGGTGATGTAGTTACTGTGCTCAGATGAGGAGTTTCAGAAGGCAGGGCTGTGATGTGCTTCTGAAAAACTCGCCATTGGAACCCTTGTGGAAAAGCCCAGGTCTACTCGTTCACGACATGGAATCACCATGCGTCAGGACTAACTAGGCCAACTAGAATAGCTGTTTAGTTTTTCCTCTAGTTTTGATGTAGCTTGGTCAAGTCTTTAATAATGCATGCCTTTTCTGCTTAAGGAAGGGTCCCCTGACTTAAAAGCAAGAAACGCTCAGCTTGTCCTTCTACAAGTGTTAGGGTTTTATCACTCACCATGTTAAGTTCTTAATTCAGCTAGGTTATATTTGATGCACGAAGGAACTTTTGTTTCATTTGCTCAGCAAGTTGTTAAAAAAATAGATTAAGAAGTCCTCCTTTCATCAGTGTTCAGCGAGGGCATTTCTGTCATATGTCCAATTTCTAATGATTTTTTTCTTATGACATTAAAAAAATCATTTTGTTGGGGGCTCTTACAGCTCTTATCACAATCCAGCCATCCATCCATTGTGTCAAGCACTTTTATACATATGTTGCCATCATTTTCAAAACATTTCTTTCTACTTGAGCCCTTGATATCAGCTCCCTATTTCCCCCTCCCCAACCCTGGCTCCTCTATGAACCCTTGATAATTCATTAATTTTTTTTTCATGTCTTACCCTGACTGGTGTCTCCCTTCACCCACTTTTCTGCTCTCCGTCCCCCTCGGAAGGGGTGATACGTAGATCATTGTGATCGGTTCCCCCTTTCTCTCTCCACCTTCCCCTTACCTTCCTAGTGTCATTATTCTCATTATTGGCCCTGAGGGGGTTATCAGACTTGGATTCCTTGTGTTTGCAGCTCTTATCTGTACCAGTGCACATGCTCTGGTCTAGCTGGATTTGTAAGGTATAATTGAAGTCATGATAGTGCGAGTGTGATGGGGAGCATTAAATTACAGGAAAGCTGTATATTTCATCAGTGCTATACTGTACCCTGACTGGCTTGTCTCATCCTTGTAACCCTTCTGACAGGAGACGTCCAATTGACTACAGATGGGCTTTGGGTTGCCACTCTGTACTCCCTCTCATTCACATCGATATGATTTTTTGTTCCAGGTCTTTGATGCCTGATCCCTGATCCCTTC